CAATGTGTACGTGTGTATGTTTGTGTGAGCGAGAGAGCTAGAGAAAGGAAGAAAAGAACAGGTGAGTTTTTATGTTACATTTTTTTTTTTTTTCTAATAATTATTCTGTATTCTACACAGTATATGCAATACATGTAACATAAAAACTCACCTGTTCTTTTCTTCCTTTCTCTTTTCAATCGAATAATGTCCATTAAACGGTTTGATATACAGATATTATCTATTAGATGCTAATAAAAACTTAAAAATGATTAAATATCCCATCCAATAGATTTATCAAATTTATTGTAGAATTTTTTAAAAAAATATTTTATTCTATTTTTAGTTATTCAAAATTATTGGTACGTCGACATTGGCTTGTACTTGGACTTGTATGTTCTATATGTTTTATATTAACAATAATTGGATTAGCCATATCAAAAATACCTGATTTTAGTGATCCAAGAAAAGTAATTAATATTCTAATTTAATATATATTTTTACTTTATTATAAATAATAAATATTTAAATATTATTTATTTAGGGATGGGGTGCAAGAGGACCAAGAACAATTTTTAGTCAATTGATGGTATTGCGTCATGCATCAGAAAAATTTCGTTTAGCCTACGATTTACCATTAGAAAAATATGAATTATTTGATTCTAGTGAACAATTTTCAAAAGTTACAACACCGATGATTAAAGATGAAAATTATAATTCAACAATATTGGCTAAAAATGATATGTGGAAAAATAAAGATTATAATCTTATTAGTGATACATTTTATGATGATTATGTTGACGAATTTGAAGAGCCACCAGATTATTCTGATACATCATTATACACATGGAATAAAGAACGACATTATGGTGTGAGTGATCGAATTATTAAATATGTTGATGATAAAACGTAAGTGGACTTATACTTATCCACAGTAAATAATATAATTTATTAATCGTAATATTATTTATTGCTACATTTATGGTTGATAAAATTTATTTTGTTATATTTATTTTAGTGTTAACATTACTGTAGGTGATTTTGTTAAAAATTTACCAAAATTTAATACTCGTTTATCATTTGATCTATTAAAATCTTATGCATTTTTACTTGATGAACAATATCGTGGTCAAACAGGTCGTGATGGTATGATTGAATTTTATATGGAACGTATAAATATTGATGATGATATGTTAACATTACCCGTTTTACATTCAATTTGTTCATGGGAAGAACGTTTTAAAAAATTATTAAATTTAAATAATGCTAAAAGTCTTAGTTTAGCAAGATTAGTGGCATTATATAATAATAAAACAAATTGTCATAGTTTAACAAATGATGATATTAAACAATTTCGTCATATATTAACAACATGTGTACCATATTATGTAAATGGTTATATGGAATTTTTGAGTGATTATTTTTTAAATAGAGTGGCAACTGAACGAGAAGAAGGTATTACATATCAAGAACAAACAAAAGCATTGTATACAGCTTTAAGACATACATGTTTCTATCGAAATATTACACGATTTATATTCGATCATTTTGTTGATAAAGATTGGATTAAAAATTTAAATGATTATAATAAAACAACTGATAAATATCCAAAAGTAGCATTAACAATGATTTATATTACTAATTATCAACCAAAAATAGAAAATCAAAGTATTTATGATAGAATGTGTATGAAACGTTTATATTTTGATCGAACATATTGTTTAAAACGTGGATGTTTAAAAGATTATATTAATAATGCTCTTGTAAGTTCATGTAATCTAAAAAAATATCGTACAACAACAAAAAATTCTAATAATTCTAATTCTATTAATTGTCTACAATATTGTGAATGTTTATTTCATTGTGAAAATCAAACAAAAGAATTTGTAACTATGGAACCAATTTATAAATCAAAAGAACTTATTTCATTATTTGAAAAATATTTTGCTGGTAAACGACAAGTACCATCGTATAGAGATGAACATGTAAAATTAGTTGCACTCAATTTTGCCAATATTCGAGAACGAGCAGCTATGTCAAGAATAAGTGAAGGCAAGTATAAAAATTTCTTATAAAATGATAAATATTTTTTATAAAAATAATATTAATTTTTATATGTAAATGTATGTTACTTTAGATATGCTGTTGGTATTAATTGCAATGGCATTAATTATGGCAATAACAATATTATATTTGAGAAGTGTATCTATTGCATTAATTATTATCATTGGATGTGGAATGTCAATTGGAGTATCTTACTTTATTTATTCTGTTATTTATAGTATTCCAATATTTCCATTTATGAATCTAATGAGTGCATTTATTCTCAGTAAGTGTGGAGTTTTTTTCTTCAAAAACAAAAAACAAACAAACAAACAAACAAAAAAAAAATGAAAGATTTTAATTCTATTTCCTCTTATTCTATTTTAGTTGGCATTGGATGTGATGATATATTTGTGTTTTTTGATACTTGGGATCAAGAAAAGCGTGAATGGTTACGCCGAAAAGATGAAGAAAAAAAACATGTTCAAAGTACAACATTAACAGAAGAAAATAATAGTATTTTAATTGTTGATGTTGTAAATGAAAATGAATCTAAATTAACAAGATGTTATCAACATCGATTACATAATACTCATCATCCAGTTGAAACACGACAAATGTTATTGGATTCTGATGCATTAGCTGAAATTATGAGTAAAACATTGAAACATGCTGCAAGTTCAATGTTTGTTACCAGTTTTACAACTGCAGCAGCCTTTTTTACAAATATGTTAACAAATATATCATTTGTACAAGTATTTGGCGTTTTTACTGGTACATGTATATTACTCTATTTTATTATTACAATTACAGCCATTGCTGCTTATTGTATTATATATGAATTGTATATTCAAGATATAATATCAAAATTATCAAAATGTTTTTCATCTCCTAGTCATACACATCTAAGTGTTAATCCAAGTACAAATTCAATAATCAAAATATTTAAACGATTATCATTGTATTTCAATCACTTTCGAACATATTTATTTTTTTATTGGCTTCCACGAATTATTATAACTCTTCGTTATATACTTGTACTATTATTTTTACCCATGGGTATTCTAGGAATGGTAGGCGTTTTTCATTATCCAAAATTAAAAGTACCATCAACACAAAAAGTGGCCTTTTTTCTAAAAGATAATCCAATGGAAATTTATGAATTTCAAATGAAAAGAATATTTGAAGGATATAATAAAGAGGAAAAACGTTTATTTGCTTATCCATCAATTAGTTTTATATTTGGAATTATTGATCGTGATGATGGTTATAGATTTGATATGAATGATCGTATGTATAATTAAAAAATAGTTTTATCAATTATTAATCTAAATAAACTGACAGTTTAATATTAAAAATGTTTTTTTTTTCTTCTATATATTGATGATCAATTCTCTTTACTATTCATTGAATTGTGATCAATACCTAATAAAATAATTTTGTTTTTTCATTTTCTAGGAGGAAAATTACATTTAAAACCATTATATTTAAGTCATAATAGTACATTAGAATTTTTTAAAAATTTTACTACTATATTAGGTACAAGAACAGATTTATTTAGTTCAAACTATGATTTAGAACAAGATTATAAACAATTTTTATCATTAGCCACTGATGAAATACTTCTTGCTAAAGCTGTTGATGATAAAGCAAAATTAAATATATCATTAACTAATTATAAACAAATGATTCAATTTTTAGTTAAATCTGATCCAAAAATTATACAAATATTAGTAAATAAAACGGTACGTGGTATAAATTATCAATTAAAAAATGATTTTTCAGATGATGAAGATTATATTGATTTTGAAATTGATAAAATTGATAAAAATATGATTATACAAAGTTTAAATGAATTAATTAATAAAAATATAATTAATTATAAACGATATCGAAAAAATTTTAATAAAACATTACAAGAACATTATAAAGATCAATTAAAATTAACATATAATCAAGATGAATTAAAAAATAGTTTAACAAAATCTTATCGTGATAAAGAAGTTGAACAACATCAAAATAGTGCATTAAAAACAGCATTTGCTTGTTTATCAGGTGAAGCAGGTTTAAATAATGTTCCAATTGATTTTTGTGAAAGACAAATAAATCATCGACGATCAATAAATTGGGCTGTATTACCAGAAAAATTAGTAAATAATAATATAAGACCATTTGCGGCTATAATAACTATACGTGGTATATTAAATATTTTATATAATATTTTAATAGTTTTAGAAATATACTTATTCTTTTATTTTAGGAAATTTAAATAAAACTGACTATGATTCGTATAATGATTATTATTTTAAAATTAAAAGTTTTTTTGATCCATATATAAGTAAGTTTATTCTTAATTATTGATTTTATTATTATTTAATATATTGTATTATTTTTATTGTTGTTGTTGTTGTTATTTTTTTATCCTTCTTTTTCTAGAAAATTATGCACCAGAACATTTGAAACATGCTTGGTTTTCAAGTCCGGGCTTCGCATTTTATGGTGTACAACGGGAACTATTAGTAGGCTCTTATTCATCATTAGTAGCCTCATTGGGAATAGCATTATTAGTCTTATTTTTAACAAGTGGAAATTTATTTATTGCCTTTTATGCATTAGTAACTATTACATTTGCTATTGGTACGTTTTATCTCTTCTTAATCAATTTTTATGTAGAATATGTGTTATAATTTTAATCTAAATATATTTTTATTTTTTAGCTGTCAGTATTGCCATTTTTGCTGCACTTGGTTGGGAATTGGGAATTGTTGAAGCAATTATTGTTATTATGTCTGTTGGATTATCCGTAGATTTTACGGTACATTTTGGTGTAGCTTATATACATACAAATGAAAAAGATATTCATCATGTAAGACGAATTGTGGCAAAAAAATATGCTGATAAAATTTTAATGAAAAAGACTAATGTTCTTTCAATAAATGATAATGGTGAAGGTGATAATTGTTTAGAATTTGAAGTTGAGCAACCATCACCAAGTAATTATTGATGATTGGTTCTTTTCTTATCATAATAATAGATTAATTTATACTCTAGGGCAATCTTCGCCTACTTATCGACAATTACTTGGTGAACATCAAGCTGAACGTGAAACAAGAGTTCATGAATCTGTTGCACGTGTTGGTAGTGCTGTATTCATGGTAAATATAAAAGAAAATGAAAAAATTGAATAGATTAAATAATATTATGTTTGACTATTTCAGGCTGCTTTTACAACATTTGCCGCTGGTTTTAGTATGACATTATCGAGTTTAACATCATTTAGACAAATGGGTCAATTTTTAATGACAATCATGTTAACAAGTTATGTATTTGCAACATTTTTCTTTTTACCATTGTGTGCTATTATGGGTCCTGTTGGAAATTGTGGATCAATACCATTTAATACAATTTGTACATTTTTTAAGCGTTGTTGTTCTCGTCGTCGTTCATTATAATCGTCTCCACAAGTCTAGTGTGATGAACATATATCTACATTCTAATACTAGTCATGTTTTTATTTCTTAATTAAAATTTGTTTTTAGTGAGCTTAGACTATCTAACCCCTTTCTGTTGAATATTGTGCAAAATTTTCTTTTTTCTTCTTTTTCTTATAAGCCTGGTAGGTTCGTTCTGCGTTCAAGAATGTTTTACAACACAGTACTGATAAGCAGGAATTTTTAATTTAATATATACACGCCGGATTATTTTCTATCTTTTTCTAGTCAGATACAAAAACATGTTCTTAATTTTATTTTTGATTCGTATAAACTTCTTTCTTACAGTGAATTAGTGTATACTTGAAATATTATTTAAAATCAAATCGATTAAATAGTGAATTCCATAAAATATGATCGATTTATTTGTTCTTTATTTTTTAAAGTACAAATTAATTGTGATATGGATTGTTATTTTAAAAAGTATAATGAAATACTACGCTTTTTACGTTGTTATTGTCAGTTTTATTTTTAAATACCAAATCAAATCAAACATATGCTGATTATTGTACTAAAATGGTTATAATTGTTATGCATATTTGGGCGTCAACATATTTGAAGTTTCTTTTGATTTGATCAGTAAATATTTGAAAAGAAAAGAAAACGTTTTATAATAAATAAATATATGCTTTACATGTTTCGTGACTATACATGGCGAAGTTTGGCGAGTGCATTAAAAAAACACAAGGAGGATGTGGGTAAATATTCATTATGTGACAAAACAATATTAACTGTGATTTTAATAATATTTTGAACATGTAATATGATTTGATTTGACAAAAATATGGAAAAAAATATCCTCTTCAAGTTGAGTTGATCAGTGACATTATCGATTGGATTAAAGTTCAATTATTCTAATTTCACATGTTGAAAATTGCACTAATTCTTAACTGCTGTTTTTCGTTGAAAAACTCACAAACCGTACAGATTGATTAGTGGCACAGTTTTTTTGTGTTAGAATAAAAGCAAAAAATTCACAACAGGTTCATGAAATTCACGACACACAACACAAATAAAACTGTATAATAAAAAAGAAGAAAAACACAAAACTAAACATTGTCAAAATGCGTATGTGAGTAGTTTTAAAACTAATTCTTTTTTACAAGGGCAGATGTGTCAATGTCTGACACTTGAAATAACAGATGGCTAACAATGAATTGATCACTTTTCATTATAATTTCTTTTTCTTACATTTCCAAGGATCGCTTTTTGTGGGAGGAAAAAGATGCGCCTTGAGATTCTCTTCGAAAAACCTACTGAGTATTTTATTATAAAACAACTTAAGCATTCTTAACCCTTTGGTGACGGGGCCCGTATATATACGGGCAGTACATAAAATCTTCGTTACTTCACTTATTTTGCACCTTTTCACTTCCCATATATTTTCCAGCAAAAATAATAATATATTTGAGATCAGCAGACAAAACTGGGTCGAACAGCATACTTAAAACTCGGTTTTCAGTCAAAACAATTGCATTTGAAAATTTTCTCGCTAGGTTAGAGGTGAGTGTGTAATCCTTCTTACAAAAGTTTCATCAACGTTTTTTCGAACCATAGGCTTTCATGACTATTTTTTCATGATTACCATGTACATGGATTGCAAATTCTAGTAGAAAGTGCGACCCTTAGTTCATCACCGCCGCCCTTCTACGTCTGTTTCAATCGTGAGTACTCGTCCTTAATGAATTTCTAGAATCACACAATAATTAACCTTCATACTTTGGCTAGATAATCTACAGACACTGTAGAGTCTTTGATGCGAGTTTGAAGCCAAAATGATGTTCTTAGACTGAGTTGTGAATTTCTTTTCGCAAAGAACCTCGAATTTTCAACAAAAAAAAGCTAACCTCTTCCGTAAAATAGCTATATTTCACTGACTCCTAACAACCAACTCACAAAATTCATATCGTAGATAGAGTAGAGTGTAGCTGCATTTTTGTAAAAAGAAACAGCTTTCATCTCTCTTAGATCAGGAGCTATTGACATTTTACGGAAAAGAAAGAAATTGCTTATATCTCATGAACTATCCAGTAAAAGAGGTGCAAACTTGGTGGGTGATCAGCATTTGATAAGAGCTATGATCACACAAAATTAGAAGTACTTAGCTATCATGGCTCTTGAGTTACAGGGGTGTCGCTACTATTGCGCGATTATTTTTTGAAAAAATAATCCCGTCCTCAAAGGGTTAATTCGTCATTGTATATAAAAAAATTTAGGTAGTCATTTCATAGCGCTAAATATAGTTTTTAAAAGGTAATTAACACCAAATTCAACAGTCGTTCTGTCTTGCATGCCCCTTATCAGAGACAGGATGGTCCAGGTCAAATGTCCAGACCTGACCTAGCAAAAGCGGACTTTGACCTGTAAGACGTGAACCTGGAAAAGGGGACCTGGACTTTGACCTGAACCTCTACCTGTGACCTATCGGCATAAGCAACATATTAGCCATTGACTATATCTAGCAGTGTGAAACTGAATTATTTCATACACATTTTCTCTCCTGTTGGAAATTCCGAGAACAATATGAAAAATCGTAATAATCTTATTGCCTAAAGACATTTTTGTTCAAAATATCTATCATGTGCTTCTCATATATTCTAAGAACTGTTCTTAAACTCTAGTACAGGATATTGTAAATTCGCACTATCAGAATTTTTTCATGCAACGGACCCAGCGTCCAGGTCACAAGTTCAGGTCATAGGTCCAGGTTCAGGTCAGATCCAAGTCTAGGTCTATCTTTTTCAAGTGCAGGTCTACAGGTCCAGGTTCAACTTTATAGGTAAGGACCAGACCCGAGGCAAAATTGTTCATTAGATCGAATAACAATAAGCCACCTTACAGTTAAACTTTCTAGTTTCTCCTACAAGTTTTGACCTTGACCCGCACAGATCACAGGTCAAGGTCTAGGTATCCTGTCTCTGCTGACGTTTAACAAACCGACTTTTATAATATATTTCCGATTTATCTTGCAAAAAACATAATGCCATAGCATAAATTTTTTAAGAACAAAAACCAAGAAAAGCTTTGATATTTGAATTTAGTAACAGATTCGCCTGAAGTCCAAAACAAAGTAGAAAACAAAGATTTGAAGACCATTTTTAGACTAGAAACTTTATTTAAGGGATCCGAAAATCGAAAAACCTCATGTATTTCAATAATAGTTTTTATTATCCAATAACAGGTAAACGAAACAGCAAGCATATTACGGCAATTGAAATTTCTGTTTTACTTTCACATTAGCTATTCCTAAAGAAAATTTTTGATTCGAATTAGAATGAATGACGAGCTTTAGGCTAAACACCCAAAAAATTTTTTTTATTAAGTGAAAACTCAATTTTCGTGACACAATGTCGTCCTTCCTGTATTATGACCTAATCGTATTTCGTTGCAGTATTATATCACCGTTTGTCTGACATTAATAACCTCACTCTCTCAACATTTCTTATTACCATCAATATAATTGCTTTGTTTTCGATATGTTCTATCTTTATTGATGTTGCTATAAAAATTGTGTATGGTAAAAATTTGTTATCATCAACTTCTATTCATTTCCTCTTTCGCTTTAGCTGTAAGACAACAAAAAAAGTTTGATTAAAAAATTCTTGTAGCTCACAAATTCAATAACATTATTATGTGATATTTCACATCTGTTCAGCAAGATGAAGAAATTAAAAAAAAGAAAAGAAAAGAATTTATCTCTAGTATGCATAATCTGAATGGAAATATTAAAAAACGATACATATTTAATTGTTGTTCGAAAAATTCCTTTTTTTTTTTCTTTTGTCATGTCGAGAAAAACGTTAAATGACAAAAACGATTACGCTTGTCTGTAATTTTCAAGTATAATAATATTTTCTAAGAAGTAAAATGTCATTTTTTTCATATACTAATCGTGTGACTACCGATAAAGTGAAGTGATGAAAATTGAGTTTAACTTCCGTATGGTACCGTAAAGTAGTCTCGAAGAATGTTTGATGAACAAATTAATAAGAATGATGATGATTGTTCATCAAAGAGCAGTTTCGACACGGATTTAGAAGAATCTGAAACAGGTCAGTTACATTATGTCATAACTAGTCAAATTGATGAGACAAAATTACAACGACTGACGTCTACTCTTTCGCTATTCGATAAAAATCTAATAATAGTTTAAATAACATCATTTTCTGACTTATAGCTGATGAAATTACATTGCCACGATTATCATTTGATCATAAATTAGCCGCTCATCATTACAATCGAATTGATCAAACATTTGGTCAACAGAACATACCATTTTCATGTGGTGAAAGATCTCATTCAGTGGAAAATCATGATACTGTGCTACCAATTTTATACAGATGTAAAACACCACAACAAAATGGTATGCTACATATACATTGACAGTCTCTATTTTCTGTATCGAATTTAATTTTTTGTTTCAGCTCGTTCAAAAACTTACGAGAATACGTGTGAAATGTTAGATCTTAGTAGTGATTGGCAAATACGCATCCTTCTTCAATATGATAATATCTCCATTTCTAATCGATCATTTTCTTTCAATGATATACGAGCATTTTCTAGCGCTATTGAGGTATTTTAGCAATATAGAATGAATTTGCGTATTCTGTGTAACTTCTTTGTTCTATATATAGGCAAATGAAAATTTAGAAACTCTTACTCTTCAGTCCGTTGGTTTAACATCACGATCAACAACAATTCTCTGTAAAGCATTACAAAAGTGCATTCATCTGGTTTCACTTGATATTTCGAATAATAAAATTGGTAAAGAAGGACTAATGGCCATAACACAAGCAACAAAGTATCTTCGATCTTTAACACATTTATCGTTGGCAGGTAAGAAAGATCAAAATAAATTCAAAATAAAAAAATGATAAAACGTTAGCTCTTTTCTAATTGAATTTCAACGCAATATTTTTCATCAAACACTCTATTTTCTTTTCTGAAAAATTGCACAATTGTTTAATTTGTTTCGTTAAAGAGATATGTGTGCGTAAATACTTAGAATTTACTTAAAATAAAGTGTCAGATTACCGACAACTTTTTTCTATTCAACTTCACATGTTTCTCGAATGAAATAAATTCAAGAATTATGCAGTTTTGTGGAAAGAAAAATTTGAGTTTTTGATGAAAAATATTCCTGTGACATTCAACTCAAAAAGTTCTTCTCTTGAAAGGTAGGAATGTACACGGGTCTAGTGCACGAACGCCTTTGTTTTAGACGAAAATTATATATCTTATTTTTCAATGTCATGAACAGTATAATACTAGATATAATTACTATCCATTTCAAAAAAGAAGAAGCACGGCCATTTCTTTGATAACTTT